AAAATTAACGATAGAATCATAAAGGATTCAAATCCTCAAATCGAAGAAATTAAAAGTAGAAAGGAAAATCAGAAACTAAGCTAATAAATAGTATAGACACTAAGAAAATGCGGTGAAAAAGTGGCGGTCTGGATCGAAAATCAGAAGAGCATGACTTAAAACGCCAACATAAAAGAGAACCTCATCGAAATAATGTGAAAGCGGTCCCGAGGGAGAACAAGTCTCGCCGAAGTGGGGGTATATCAGTTCGTATATTAAATATTAATGTTAGGGAATCGGGCTCACAATTCTGAAGACGTTTCGGCTGACGATGCATAAAGCATTTCACCTTCTCACAACCAAAAAAAAAAAATCATTCTTAATAGCTTATATGTATAAGTTTGAATATATATACATATAATATATTTACTAAATAAAATTTCGCGTATTAAATTTGTATACCTGCAGGATGAGATTTCTTAATCCAAAAGCAAAATTGACTTCAGTTTCATACCCTGTAGTTCTGTTAATATTAAAAATAAATTCCCTTTTCCATACGCATACACATACTCATGAACTATACGTTCAAGATGCCCAATATTGAAGCAAAGTCAATATGGGAGGAGATTCCTTGGTTTAAGTAACAAAATCTCCATACTATAAGGATTCAAAATAGAAAAACCTTACAACATATGAGTACCTTCTGATAAGTGCTATATAGCGACAGAGTACACTTATCTACTTTTCTGTTTCTCATCTGATCCACAGCTACTACAAAAGTCACTAAAAAGAGCTGATCCACAGCTACTACAAAAGTCACTAAAAAGTGCCCTTAATCGATCGATATTTCTTCTGAAGGGCAATCTTCCGTCAGTACAGTGATTGTATTGGACAGTTAGTAGATGTATACGCTCAGAGTCAGTAGTAGTCTGTAATTTAAAATATTCTCTACATCACTGTACTGACGGAAGATTGTTTCTTGAGAATAAATACTTATCGATTAAGGGCTCTTTCTAGTGTCTAGTGTCGTAACTGTAGATCAGACGAGAAAAAGTGTAGTACTGTTTTTAACTGGATGTACACGGACATTAGCATACATATACTTAAGCAAGTATACGTTCAGAGTCATCAGTAGTCCGTAATTTAAAATATTCTGTACGTATAGCATAACCAATTTAATAGATATTTAACGAAAACTCAAATCTAATGTGATTAATGTAATTGGAAGCCGTGTACTACTTTTGAACAATTCGTCGTCCCTATACTTGCCAGAAATATACAGAAGCTCATTTATAATCGCCCTACCGTTCATAAATCCTTTGCCCATTCGACCCTAATAAAAATGTGAGTAGACAACTTAAGATGAAGTAGAGATATTATAACACAATTATTAATATTGAGTGGGATGGCCGAATCATAATGTATGAAAAACCTTTATTACAACTCAGGTGTAACAAATTACTATGAGCTGTCAGTATTATCTAGTTATTGAGCCCGAAAATAAGTTGACAGCTTATGAATAAGAATAAAAATCGCTACGGTTAAAGGCTTTAAAAATACTGCACTTCGTGTACTTACTCGAAGGGATATTCCAATAAATTGACTGTAAAGTTGTCGCGTTGTAACTGAAATAGAATTCATTAATCACTTTCTATGTCTTAAACCAATAGTACAGACGAAGCGATCTCAATGCCAAAGAGAGTTTCTTCACTGGCCTATCCGATATTAACAAAATATACTCGACGGATCTATTCAATTTTGGAGTAAATTTCGAGTACCAAAAGGTTCAACAAGGATAGTACTAGTAGATGAAAACGATTAATGTAGTTTGCGCCCATGCAGATTTGACAGCATTACAAGGTGCATTAGATTTCTCCCAATGTTTACAGTTACCTAACCTAGCTACATCGGATTCTAGTCACTACAATAACCATAGTTTTCCTAACTTTGAATTAAGCGTTTTATATTAACCGTTTTAGGTAATATGGGACAACACACTAGTCTTGCATTATGACAACTTGTTAAGAAAACATATCAATTATAGAACAGCAATACGTATCCCAAATTAAAAATAACTTTAAAGAGTTGAGCCTGGGAAAGTATGAAGCCAAAGCACTAGAGCGAATATGATGAGAAATTGTCATGAAAGCTTTGATCCACCGATAAATATGATACTATGAAAGACATTAATTATCCTAACTTTTATACTATCTGGTCTGCAGCACTGGAAGAATATATTATATTGCATATACATAAGGTATCTTCATATCAGTTTTCGATACTCATTACATCTATAGTAACACTAAATCTGTCGATATACTACATATGTCTCTAAGCTTTATTTTATATAAGATAACACCCTCTTATAACACTAACGTTCTAAAATTCGGCCCCTGCGCTTATTTTCATTAACGGCATAATCATGCGATATTATTTGATCGCCAGATTGCTACGAAACGGGACATAAATTTGTTTGACTGGAAAAGTTTCTTGGGCCTTCGTTGCTCTCAACTTTATGAACGAAGTTTGTTCAGTTTTACTTTGGCTATGGAAAGAAACGCACGTTTACGTCTTTTATTTTTTTATTTTGGTTGTTATGTCTTCAGTATGGTGATCAAGTCCAAAACATGATATGGTTGTGGTAACCCGCCGGCATCTATCGATCAGATAACATTAAACGAGTTGCGCATCGGTATACATGGGTTAGAATGGATGTAGATAAAGACTGTGATTGTTAAGGAGTAAGGTTTGATTTTTGAAGTCAACCTGGGTTAAGGCAGAGAGACCAAGCCACTTCAATGGTTCCAGTCTGGAACATAAAACTGACCGGTTTCAGAACGTTTTCTGAGTGTCAACAGATTAAGTTGAATTTTATCTCTTAAGTTCTTTATCTTACTTTTTAACACCAACCTTCAGTCGATTTGTTCTTCTTACATATTAATAAGAAGAGATGTATAAGTAATACATCTCTTCGAAATTCACTAAAAATGAAAACTAAAACTCCTCTTTTAAAAATAAATAAGATATGTATAATCCTTTCCTTATGAATCCAAAAGTAGTCATCATTATTAACTAGGAAATATTTTTTATTTTGCGAGTAATTATAAATTTTACAAAAAATTTCATTTTTAGTTTGGAAAGGACACAACATGAATTTATTTACAGTACGATTTGGGTTATTAAATTATTAAAATTGGAATTTTTTAAAAATACTTAGTAGAGTTGCTAACTAAAATTAAAATAAAACAATTGAGTTTTTAGAATTAAGCAACGGAGCCCTCAATTTCTGTGCTGTGGATTTCTTGGTGGCGTTGTAACAGACTCAAGCATTGATGCAAGCATTGTGTGCTGGCTGTAGAAATGGCTTTTAGCATGAGAAGATCAGGATCAGTTGGAGAGAACGCTTCACAATCAATATTTTCTATTGCACGCGCCAAATTGGCATTGCTATAAATTTAATTTATTTCATTAATTATAAGGGACACTTTAACTTGCTTACTTACCACTGTTCTGTTAGATAAAGCGCTTGTCTTGCTGACACCATTGCATCTGAAGCTGCTAGTAATTCTCTTGGTGGTAAGGTAGATGCAATACTTATGTCCATAGCTTGTGTATGACTTTCAACTACTGCACGTAAACCATCTACCCATTCCTGACGTGCACGCGCATCTGATGCACGCAACTTTAATGTATCACCGGAAGCACAACCAATTGAAAATGTTTTCGAATCTTCATCGCTCGGATAAACAACAGCACCGCCTAAATGCACCTGACCGCGTGGCGCACCGGCTAATACATGAGGTGATGGCGCGACATCTTCATTAGATGAAGACGAATCACATAAATAATAGCTGAGTGTGCCTGTTTTCGGATCAACGGTGAACCAACGATACTGCCAACCTACAAAGCAGAATGTAGTGCGACTTTTTACATAAACAGACTAATTTTATTTACCTTTAACAACATTTGTGTATTTACTTAGTTGTCCATTTAGTTGATGTCGTACGCTTTGGTTTAGCACCCTGTTCAGATTAGCCTCCATTGTGTCGAGTCTCTCGCCGAACTCCTGTATTTTGCTCCGCTCCTTTGTTGTGCTGTTGTTAACGATAGCAGTCGAATGTAGCTTTTGCCGTGATTTGTTTTTGCGGTGCTGTAAAGTAGATTTTATTTTTCGCAGAATGTTTGCGAGTTAATTTTATATGTAATGCCCTAATATTTGTTACTTTTTTTGTATGTTAATTATATTGTTAATAATATAATGTAATTGACGCAAAATCACTAAACAAAAGTTCGTAGAAATAAATATTCAACACAGCGACTATTCACAATAAGCAAAATCAGCTGATATTAGAAAACAGTGTTGCAGAGTTGTAATTTTAGTGTATTAAATTTATTGTACTTAGCGTACATACCATTTTAAACATTCGTTTCGAATCCATTGTTCCACCACAAATTCAACTAAATATAATTGAAAATCTTTATGTTATTAAATTACATACAACAGAAAACTTTTTTTTAACTTCGTGATTGCATTGTTTTAAATTCTATTAATGGAAATGAAGAAATTTTAAAACCAGTGCATTATGTGTTTTGTAACTAAAATGTTATGCAATTTGAAAAAATGTCAAATATTGTTTAAAATATAAATTCTTTGAAGGATATTTCAGAGAGCTGAAGTTGTGTTTCAATTTTTTCTGTGCTGGAAAAAATTTTATTAAAAATTAAATTTAAATTTTTTTGACAGAAGTTTCAAATTTCCTACTCTATTAATTCACAGAAAAGATATTAAATACTTTTGACAATTAAGTTTACGAGCTCCCTAAGAACTCAAGAACAACTCAAGATTTTAAGGGCCCTCCCAAGTGGGAGGTACAATTGGATATTTACTTTATTGGAACAACAGTTAGAGAAGAACTAGTGACACCATGTCTGAAAAGGTTAATGAAGTAGATATATCAGAGCCCCCTGATATCCCTCTACAGGCTAATTGTGAAATCTCAACTGAAATGGTCAATATCAGTGTGAAGGAACTCTTTGAACTTAAAAAATTCAATGAAATTCTACAAGCCAACTATATCAAACTTAGGCAGCAATTTCAAATGCTCCAGGACCGGTATTCTGATTTGGAAAAACAATTGAAGCTAAAAAACCCAGTAGCTACTGGTAATCAATTAAATAATAATAAAAGGAAGAAAGTTTCACCGCCTTCTCCAGTTAGCTCCCCCCATGACTCCGCTGGCTCTAATGAGGAAGAAATGGAGATAGAAATTTCTGTTGCGGAGCCTGACCGTTTTAAGATTGAAGATACTGAAATTGATTTCCCGAAATATAATCCAAAAGTCAAATCGACCAAACAGGTGAAATCAGTTGTAAAGAAAAGACTTCCTAAAACAGCACCAAATTCAACAGCAGTCAAGTCAATTTCAACAGGAAATTCTCAATTCCCAACTCCTGAGCGGATCTCTACGCCTGAAAACATCCATACTAATGGTATTGTTTCTGACAATATAACGAATCGAAATCTTTTACAACCTGTAACCTCAAATAAGAAAGTAGGCAAAGTTGTACCTATTGTACTCCGTCGAACCAACACGTGGAACTCTTTAGTCAAGCAATTTTTAACAAGAAACATTAATTTTAGCGAGGCAAAGAAGGTCCGTTTGGGCATACAAATAACTCCTGCCACCATAGATGACCATCGCAAGATAACAAGATATCTAAATGAGATTAGTGAGCCATTTCACACCCACTTTCTTCCTGACGAAAAACACCTCAATATAATAATTAGAGGTTTAGAGGGTCAGAGTATAGATGATATTAAAGAAGATCTTGCAGGCCAAGGATTTAGTATCTTTGAATGCCATTTTTTGAAAACTAGACAAGCTGCCAGCAATTTAGTTAAAATCAGACTGCCAGCTGACCAGAAGAACATATATAATGTTTCCAGTATTTGTCATTTAAAGGTGATTATTGAAGCCCAGCGCCCTCTAAAAGGTCCCCCACAATGTCATAACTGTCAGCAGTTCGGGCATGTCGCTACTAACTGTAGAGCCACACCAAAGTGTGTTAAGTGTGAGGGCTCACACCATCACCAACAATGTACAAAACCACGCGATGTTGCCCCGATTTGTTCGAACTGTGGTGGTGGCCACCCAGCCAACTATAGAGGATGCCCTTGCGCTCCGCAAATGCTGAAGAAAAAGAATGTCTCCACACCAATTTCTACGGCCAGTTCTAAAGTGCAGCCTTCAATTTCTTATGCCGATGCTTTGAAGAAGGGAAGTACAGCTGAGCAAGTTTCGTCCAATTCCCACTTGCTAACCTCCCACATGGAGAAGCTTTTAAATAATATGCAGATACAACTTAGTACAATGATGAAAACTATGATGGAGTCCTTGTTACAAAGTTTAGTGCCAACCCTAGCTTCTTAATGAGTTTGTCATCATATCGACTTAAAATTGTGACGTGGAATGCCAATTCCATTATTAACAAGAAACATGAGGTCATCCAATTACTGCATGATTTTGAAATTGACATTATGTTGATCCAAGAAACATTTCTGAAACCTGCTATTCATTTTAAAATTCCCAATTATGTTGTTTACAGATCAGACAGAAACTCAAGAAGAGGTGGTGGCACAGCCATCGTGATTAAATATGGCATTAAACATTATGCTACAATTTGCAACCAACAATCGCTCGAAACAACATCTGTACTGGTTGAAAGCCAACTTGGTAATATAAATTTTGTGTCAGCATACAGGCCACCGAGTTTGCAAATTCTCCCTAATGAACTTGAGGTTATCCTCAACAACGAGACACCTACTTTCTTAGCGGGCGATTTAAATGCATATCATAGCAGCTGGGGTGACAGAAATTCAAACAGAGCTGGCAGGGATATTGATGGGCTCGCCACTGAACACTTATGGCAGATTCATGCGCCAGGTGAACCGACACATTATGGCAGAATCACAGGCCACGTCATTGACTTCGGAATTTCAAATAACTTAGAATCGAATGTGCACGTAGAGGTCCTTGATGAACTGGACTCGGATCACAAACCAGTTCTTTTTATTCTTGAAAATTGTCCAGCAATCAACATGAATCTCACGTACATAACCACTAACTGGGACTCATTTAAGAATCAGGTTGATATTTCAAATATAAATAATTGGCCAGTAACTTCTGAGGATCTTGATGACTGTATCCAAAAACTCACTCTCAAGATTAAGGAGGCATTGGATAATAGCTCCACCACCAGGACCAGAAAACCAAGTAACTACTTTTATCTGCCGCATTACATCAAACAAATCATTAGACAAAGGAATGCGATTCGAAAATTTGCTCAAATAACTGGAGATCCTATGAGAAGAAGAGAAGCCAATCGTCTCTCTAATGTAATCAGGAAAAAAATTGGCAAATATAATAATGACAAATGGTGCGAATTTCTTTCAGGAATTGATACAGGTAATAAAACCTTCTGGGCTTTGAACAAGTATTTTAGGCTTAAACGTAAACCGGTAGTGCCGCCTATTTATGTAGCTACCGGCATGGCTTTCTCAGACATAGCCAAAGCTGAGGCCTTTGCAGATTCTTTGGAGCTGCAATTTCAGCCCAATACTGATAGTGACTATAATTCTCTGGTAGAAGAAAATATTGCCGAAGAGGCTGCTAATCTTAGGAACCTGATGTCAGATGAAAGCATCTCACAGTGTTCCAGAGATGAGATTAAATGTATTATTTCGAGTCTAAAGACCAGATCGGCACCCGGATATGATAATATCAGTAACAAATGCCTACGTAATCTTCCAGAAGATGCAATCCAATGCATTGTTAACATCATCAATTGCATGCTTAGGCTTGGCGAATTTCCAAAGGCCTGGAAGTTGGCCTCAGTCGTAGTGTTTCCTAAACCGGACAAGAATCCTTCATTTCCGCAGAACTGGCGTCCTATCAGTCTGCTCCCAACTATTGGGAAATTGGCAGAACGAGTAATCCTGACTAGGCTTAAAACAGCGGTAAATGCCCTAAATATACTTCCTGACGAACAATTCGGGTTTAGGGATAATCTCTCCACGGAACTACAACTAGCCAGAACTGCGCAGCTGATACAAACCGCTCTAAGTAAACGGGAGTCAACCGGGATGATTATAT